AAAAAAAAAAAAAAAAAAATTGGGGTCAGGGACTTAGCTCAGTGGTTCTGGCGACTGCCTCACAAGAACCTGAGTTCAATCCTTGGTACCAAAAAAAAATTTTTATACTTACCGAACACGTACAAACTTTTTTATTGGCTATTCCCTATATGATATACTATAACAATTATATTTACATAACATTTATAATATTTTAGGTATTATAAATAGTCTAGAGATGATTTAAAGTATATAGGTGAATGTATAAGTTATATGCAATTACAATGACATTATATGCAGGAGATCTCAGTATCTTTGGCTTTGCTATCAGCAGAGTACCAAAGGATGATTATTAGTTAAGTGAGTAAATGATGAACCAATCAAAATTGATAATGAGCTATAATAATAGGGATTTAGTAACTGAGAAGGACAATCTTCAAAGGTGGCCATAAGAGTAAGTATATATGATTCAGAAAGATAACAGCTCTTCTGAGAAATCCACCTGACTTTGGAGATACCTGAGGCAATGGATCTGAAGATCCTCTAAGTTTCTGATCTAGATAATTGAACATGATCATATTGTACGGGTGGTGTTTACTTGTGTTGTGGCATTCATCAAATATCATCAAGGTAAAGATAGACAGTGATAGAACGCTTCCATTTTTAAGATTATTCACAAGAATCTGTGGTGTTAAAATGATGATGTCATTGTTCTCAATAGTCTGTGCCACTGGGACATTCTCGGCTGTTGCTCCAGAAATGCCTGTAACTTTGTACCTAAGAAACAAAAGAAACTCCCTGTTACCAACCACAATGTGAAATGGGAAACACAAAGATGAAGCACTCAATCAGAGTTAAGTCCTCAGCAGAGAACCTGACACACAGCAAGTGATTAATAAATGCAAGCTAGTAATAATTGATGCTAATATAAATATAGAACGCTGATTTTTAGTAATATAGGAGAAGGGAAGGGAGGTAGCAATGTCCTTGGGATAATTCACAAGAGGAGCTATGATATTCAATTAACTTACTTCATTGCAAAACTGTTTTCAATCACAAGGAAAGATTTCGTTAAAATATACTTGCACATTTCACCTGTGGGTGTCTATAACTTCATTCTCAGTATGTTCCCAAATCTGTGTTGGCATTGAAAGAGCAAAACTTTATACTGGTATGTTTTTCTATTAATTATTTTAAAGCATTATTTTTCCAACACTCACGAGCATTTTGTCATAGTATAATGAAAACTTAAATCCTATGTGCATTCAATAGCAAATAGACAAGTTTTAGTTTTTATTTCCACTTGCAGTGTCACATTTCCTATAAAAATTTCCAACTAAGGATTTTTATTTTTATTTTTATTTTCAGGATAAAAAAGTTGCCTTGATAGCATATTATGATGCAATTCTAATTGCTTGTTGGGTAGTTAAATATCAGTCTTAAAACGTACTCTCTAGCTGCCACCTTCTAAACATGAACCAACGTTTACCATGCATGCATTTTGTGCTTTGTTACATTGTGCACTGCAACTAATAAGCCAGCAAATGACATGTATTAGGTGTGTGTATTGTTTCTAAAAACCACAAACCAAGATTGATAAATTATCAATACAGTTTAGTATTTGCGAATTGTGGTACATTCTTGTTACATAAATATTGGGAATCACAGGGATTATAAATTTAATTTGAGTAAAGTTTAAAATCATATGTTTCATGATAAAGGGTCTTTAAGATGGACAGCATACTAATATTATGTATTTTCTGTAAAAAGAATTACAAGAGTTTTATTTCTCTGACACTACAAGTTACTTCTTTCCATTAATAAAGACTTCTTTCCATTAAAAAATAAAAAAGCTGGGCATGGTGTCATGTGCCTATAATTTGAGCACTTGGGAGGCAGGAGGAATTCAAGGCCAGGCTTGGCTTCACAGTGAGTCCAGGCCATAGCACATAGTAGGACCCTAAAAAATAAATACATACATAAATAAATAATTTGTCAAGTCATTGAGAAAAGAATACTCTAAAGAGGATATCATATACGTTTGAAACTCATTTAAGTATCAACTTTATCCACTAAGTTATTAACTTAACCTATAAGAGCAAACCAAGAGGGTTTAGGATTTCTGGTATATCTAACAAAAAAAATTTAAAACCATGAAGGAATTACATCTAGATTTTATTAAAAAGCTGTATCTACTATGAAAAAAATTTAAATTATAGTTTTTAAAAAACAAAATGGGAAACACATTAATTACATGAAGCTAGAAAAAATAAATTAGAATAACTGTTACACCTACCCAAGTCTTTCAAAATATCTTGAGAATACAGTCTTCTGCTGTTCATACACAGGGATATGGTTAGCAAAAAAGACAACTTTCCCTTTTCGTCCTTGTGCAAACTTTTGAAGATGATGTTCACATATAAGAAGTGAAACAAAGGTTTTTCCACAACCTTTTAATATATAAAGAAAAAGAAAATATGTAGCTAATATTACTTTAGGTATTTCTATAGAAAATTATTTACTTTGGCTATTAACACCATCAGGTTGACAAGTATATCAATCATTAAGATAGATTAACAACTGTAGAATTTAAACTACAAGTGAAAAACATCAAACTATTTCTTAAGTAAGATATACTCAAACTGCCAGGACCAAAGGCAAGCTAAAAGAGAGTGTTTTTCTTTCATTATTCATGTCTTAAAATATGTTGAGACTATATTTACAGGATAGTTTTCTCAAACACAAAGTAAATAAGAAAAAAATTGAACCTTTCGATGAAAGAAAAACAAAGGAAGAAACTAAAAATACAATATCAGCAATTAGCTTACCAGTAGGAGCACATATTATTGTATTTTTCCCTTCTTTAGCAGGCAAAGCAAGCTCTAACTGGTAATTTCTTGGCTTCAATGGGTTGTACAAGTTAGTATGAGACACTTCTATAAGACAAAAGAAACAGAATTACCAAATAGTTACTGCTTTGAGGAATCATCATAATAGCTATAGTCTAATGAACTGAATTCTGATTTCAGTCAGAAAGGCCTCATTTGAAGTTTAAAATCTTGTCTCTTATTAATCATTCTAGCTTCTTCACTGATATGAAGAACAGAATTCTTGCTCAGTTAAAAAGTGTCAATGTTAAAAGGGGGAAAGAAAACATAGCAGATTCTTTCTTAATCATGGAAGCATAATAAAGTTAAGCAAAGGATGGCCTAATTCAGGGCAAGACAGATGATCACCATTTGAGAGAATGGGGTTTGGAACAAAACAATAAAAGATCTTTCCAAGATTGATGAAGAAGACCATACTATTGGATTCTCATAGCAATTTCTTGGTGAGGAGCAACCATGCTTTGTAACTCTTTAGGCTCTCAAACAATTATTTCTTATTCATGTAACCATAAATTCAAAAAAATACTTTATCTCAACAAGTGTGTGTGTGTATATAAAAACAAGAAAAACTTTGGAAATCATTAGGTAAATTGGACTAACCCATTTTAAAGAATTTCTAAAAGGTTAAGAGAATTTCACTTCAGACTCACAAGGATCTTTACGTCAGAAAAAGCAACACATTCACTGATTTTTACTGATTTTTATTCTAGTATGACAGGAAAACTTGTATCACTCAGACGCAGTGAAAAAAATCTATAAATTTTCTTTTAATGACACTATCCTAAAAATCCTATTTTTCTCCTAACACTATTCATCATTAATCCTAATTTCTTTCCTGATATTCTCTTATAAGTAACTTTTTATTATGACATATTCGTTATGATACTGATCGCCTCATAAAACAGACATGAAAATATGTATGCTTCAAGAAACACATGGGGACCTCACAAGGACACACTTAACTTCTAAGGTGCCTTGTGAGAATAAAAACAAGAAGCTCCTCTCAGAGGACACAAGTTCTCTGTACAGAGTTTGGCAGAGTACTTCTCAGCAGTGCACATTTGTGCAGTGCACACACCTCATCAACTGGCACAGCAGCCCTGGAATCTTAGAAGAAAACTGAGTATGTGGCTCACAAATAGAAGTTATGTTTTTAGAAAGAAATGCTGCTTTTGGATTTCATAGACACTGAGGTTCTGGGAGGACTCTATTTGTATTTCCAGTGTAGACATGCACGTACTTGATTAGTGATAAAATATGATTAAGAAAAAGAAAAGATAAAAGCAGAAGCTATGAAAGAAAAAAATGATATTTATAGTTATAAAGTTATCCATTTTAACATAAATTCTCTTATCTTTTTAAAATTTCCTTAAAAAGTCTTTTCATAAGGCTGTAACCTTGGGCACTGCAAAAATTATCCCCACACAAAATACATGCACAACACGATTATAGAAAAAAAATGGCAAGTACCTGAAGGTGAATAAGGATTCTGACTAAGATTTTGGTCTTCTGAATCTTCCTGGTAGAAAATCTGTATGTCAGAATGTTCTAGTCTATCGTCTTCAAGATCTTTAATTTCAACATCTTTTATACCTTTGTAAGATTAAAAAAAAAAAAGCTCAGAATATTAACATAACCTGATTACAGCTTTGACTGTGAAAGCTCCACAACGTTGTAACAGTAAAATTTTAAAATTCCATTAAGGTTTCTCACAATCACACCCTTCACTTGTTTTGCTTTTCCGTACTTGGAGTCAAACTCAGGACCTTGTGCTCGCAAGGCAGCCAGCAGCACCACTAAGCAAAATCCCCAGCTTCACTTCTTAATTCAAAGAATCATTTGACTTTGAAGTCTTAATTTGGTGTCTCAATTCCAATGTCATTTCGAACTGTATTACTCAAAGTATGGAACATGGAAGCAGCAACTTTAGGAGCTTGTTGGGAATATGAATTTTGAGCTCCTACAAATCAGAATCTGCATTTTTAACAAGACTGCCAAGGGAATCTCATGTATACTAAAGAAAAGACCTTGAACAAACAAATATCCATGTCTTCTACTTCTGACACCTGACCCAAGAAATTAGATGTGTGGTACTAGAAAATGAATCCAAGGCACTGTCTTGCATATGCTAAGGCAGCACTGTACCAATGAGCTGCATCCTCAGTTCTGTGCTCCAACACGTGTCTGTGTGTGTGTGTGTGTGTGTGTGTGTGTGTGTGTGTGTGACAGCGTCTCGCTAAATCATTCAGGTTGGCCTTGAACTTATGATCCTACTGCCTCAGCCTTCCAAGTAGCTGGAATTTTAGGCATGTACCATTGCAGCAGGCTAGAGCAACTTATCTAAAGAAGCCTAGGTAAAGCTAATGCTAAGATACTCAGATGTTTAACAGGTACAGCTCTTAAAACAAGGCTCTCCGGAGATGTTAGCTTCAAGAAAGCAAATGAGGGTTCAGACACTAAATCATGGCAAACTCTTCTTTCATCCTTGCTCTGTTCAGTTCCAATGGTTTCCATGCAAGAGAACGAGGCGATGCCTATCATGATTTTACCCTGAAAAGTAGGTAAGTCTTGGGAGTTCCAACCTCAAACACTAGAATTCTCAAGCTATTTCTCTAATAACCTAAACTCAGGCTGGATGTTCAGACTCAGGCCTTTCCTAAGTTCTTTGGGTCTTGACCAAAGATGAACTAATTCTGGGTGACAACAGTCTGTCCTGACCCATTTTTAGAAGTTATACACAACAGTCGGTCTTGATCTATTTTAAGAAGTGGTAACCAAACTAATTTCACAATCAAGCAGCTACCTCTCTCCCAGAACTTAACTTCATGTGGGTCTCTCACTAGAGATGTAGCCTTGGGTATCTGAAGGAAAAAGTGCTTCTGATGTAAAATGGATAAGTAAAAATGGGTAGAATGAAGCCACAAGTAGAACCACGAGGGAGACACAGCATATTTCTAGACCTTTTCCCTTTTCCCTTCAGAGCTCTTCCTTTGAATATCCTACCTTCATCTATAATCCATAGTTCACTGAAGATGCTTCCATATTTCTCCAAAGCAAGTTTCAAAATCTTGGGCCAGTTCTCCTTGTCTGATCTGAGAAGGCATTCAGCCATTTTCTCTGCACCTGCCATAGGCCCTCTACTGATGCAAACCTAAGCAAGGCAAACGCAGTTTTTGACCAATTATTTCAAAATTTCCTTCTCTGAGTTTTCACTGTAGAAATATCAATTTAAATACTATTAGATTTAAAGTCGTTGCAAATTATGGTTCAGTGGGTATTAGTTATTAGTTTTTGCATGCTTCAACAATGTCTTTTCTTTTTCTTTTTTTAATGATATTAGGGGTTGAACACAGGGCCTTTGTACTGAGCGCTCCCCTACCCATTTTTAGACAATGTCTCTCTCACTATGGTGCCAAGGCTGGACTCTCCTTCATTTCTGTTTTTCACACATGATATCATTATGTCAAGCCAAGACTTTTTATCTCTTCTTAGTTCTTAAATCTATCATTATCAGCAATATTAGGAAAATAATCCATTTGACAACCATTCACATTACAACATTCACATTAGCAAAAAAGGGTATTTGTAAGGATATAATGGACCATTTAACTTGGTGTTAAATGGTGTTCTCAGAGTACAGAGACTATTATTATTTACATGACTATTATTATTATCATCATTATTATCATCATCATCATCATTATTATTATTATTAATATTATTATTTGGTCACCAGAGACCAAACTCAGGACCTCATGCTTGCCAGGCAGGCACTGTGCTACTGAGATACATCCTGGGCCTGATTTTTATTACTAATCATAACTAAAGCATCATACAATTATTATTGCCGGGCTTATTATGTAAGCACTTCACATACATTTTCTCATTTAATCCTTATGAAATTACCATATTAATGTTCTACAATTACTTGTACTTTATGCATGAAGAGACAGATGCTTAAAGAAGGTAAGTAAATTGAGCTAGGATTTTAACAAAATTTATGTGTGACAATAGCCTAAATGTTTAACGGCTAGTCTAAACTGTACAGTTTTATTTAAATCTCCATAAAACATTTAGAAAATAAGGTAATTTTAACTGAAAATGCATCAAACTTTTAAAAACATATTATAAAAATTATTGAATTCATATGAGAGCATTTGTGTGCATCTCTTCCTTAAGTATAAAACAGGAATTTTCACATTCTTTTTATATCCTCCAAATTTAGTATTTTATGTTAACTTACTTGCCGGATTTCTTCACAATCCTGAGTAATTAAACATTCAGCTATTTCAGGGAGGATTTCTGTTGGGATAATTCTGGCTTTAAATTCTGGTTCTAAACGTCTCAAAAGCATTCTATGGTCCTCTAACTTTTCAAGGTTTTGAAAATCCCAATTTTCAATGGCTTCATAAAGTCCAGAATAACCTGAAAAGAAAGGAAATGAGGACATTTATAACACCAACCAGAAGTATTTTATCATTAAAATCATAACTCATGCTTGAATGAATGATGCCAGAACTTTAAAACATTTGTAAATTACTTCAGTTATCAATACTTTTTCAAAAAGAAATCAATATTCATTTTAGGCACCTAACACTTTAGGTCTTCTAACGTTGTTTATTACCTTCTCAGAGAAAGTAATAATGATGCATATGAAGTTTCATATACGATTTTTTTATAAAATCTTCTAAAGTACCCCATTAACTTCACCTGCAAACAGATTTCCCTTTCAGCATATCAAATTTACTATGCTTATCTTCTCAGTGAAAAGCAGTGAGGATGAAAGAAAATATAAATCTCAATTCCTGCCCTCCAAAACTTTCAATCTACATTATTTCAAGAAAAGAATATTAAGTAAATGAAACAAGGTGTGGTGGTACATGCCTGTAACCCCAGCACTTAGGAGGTTAAGGTAGGAATATTGTGAGTTGGAGGCCAGTCTGGGATATAAAAGAAATTCAAAGCCATTGTGGAAAACGTGAAATCTTATGGAAAAATAAAAAAAGAAACCAATAAATAACATTTAAACAAAGAATATTAAGTAAATGGGAAATTTGAGGAGGGAAAAACAATTCCAACTTCAGTAATCCAAGAATGTATCATCTAAGGTTCTGTAACAGAAATCACCAGGCTTGCCTGACTTTGAGGCCCACACTCATTTATTTCACAAGTGTAAGAAGACAATGAGGTTTATTTACTCTATGGGCCTGAGTAACTAAAGGAATCAATCAGGAAGCTTCTATGTGCAGAAATAGTCCAGAGAAGAGAAAACCCCTGGATTCTGTTAAAAGAATCTCAACTTCACAACTGCTCTGCAATGCCCCTTCTGTATAGAGATATGAAACAAAAAAAATACAATAAATATGCTGGAACATGCCATGTCAGCAAAAAGTATTACTCATGATAAAACCTGTTTAACGCACAGCAACTGTATGTCATCCATCTCCAGAAAACCTCAACTGTGTCTTTTATAGTGACAGTTCTACAGTATCTACATTTAACTTTTAGAATATTTTTCATTATACCTGAAATTCATTTTACATAAGGCTAAAAGGCACTTCTTTAAAATCATAATTGTCTTATGTTCATATATGTTTAATCTAGTTTGAGTTAATTTTTATACAGTAGGTGACGATTAATTTGATTTGTCAATGGGCTAAGAGATGACAAGATAGCTGGCAAAATATTATTTCTTTGTGTCTGCTAAAGTATTTCCAGAAAAAGTGAGCATCTGAATCAATGAACTGAGTAAAGAAAATCCACCCTCACAAATGTGGGCGGGCATCACATAATCCACTGATAGCCCAAGCAAAACAAAAAGGCAGAGGAAGGAGAAATTCTCCCTCTTCTTGAGTTCCAACACCCATTCTCTTGCCCTCAGACATCAGAGTTTCTAGTATTTGGACTTTCAAGAGTAGCTCCCTGGTTCTCAGACTTGCAGACTCGAATTATATGGTCAGCTTTCCAGGTTCTCCAGCTTGCAGAGAGTAGATCATGCTACTTCTCAGCCTCCATAATTGTGCGAAGTAATTCTTATTTATATATGTACATATATAATATATATGTCATTACACACACGTGCATGTGCAGGCACATGTCTGTTTCTCTGGAGAACCCTAATACCTAAGTGTCCAACTTCATTTCTGCATACAGATATTCTTTTTTGTGCTATCATAAATGGTACTGTTTACCTAAAAACATTTAAGGGGTTGGAGATTTAGCTCAGTGATGCTGCCACCTGCCTGTTTAATCACTAGTACCAAAAAAAAAAATTTTATTCTCTGTTGTTTAATAGGCAAACAACTAATTTTTGAGTGCTCATTTTGTAACATGGAACTTCTCTGAATTTATTTATTTATTTATGGTAGTTTTCTATATAATCATATCTTTTGTGAACAGAGATATCTTGTTTCTTTCTTTCTAATTTATGTCTTTTCTTTATTTTCCTTACCTAATTGTTTTGGAGAGAACTACTACTAAACATCATTTAGTTTTTAAAATAAAAATTAGAAATACCATTTTTAACTGAAATGTTGTACAAATTTAAATAATTTATAATATCCAAAATAGCAATATCCTGAGAAATAGGGAAATAGTTTTTCTGAAGACATCTACCTAAGAGATGGGGAAGAAAGTAAATACAATGTGACTTTTATTGCTTTTAAAAAATTTGTTCAGAAAAATAAATAATTCAAGGTTGGGAAATGAAAGAAAATAAGTCAACTATTAATCCTGGAGGTAGATGCAGAAAACCAAGTTTCACTTGACAATAAATATTAGAAGATTTAAACTGTTTCACCTAAAATTTAAAAAAAACACATATTGGGCTGGGGACTTAACTCAGTGGTTCCACCACCTGCCTCACAAGCTCAAGGTCCCATATTCACTCACCAGTAGCAATAAATAAATAAATGCATACATACACACATACATAAAAACACATTACTTTTCATAAAACAACTGCAATCACTGAGCATGGTGGCTCATACTTTTAATTCCAGCACTCAGAAAGCTGAGGCAGTTGGACTGCCACAAGTTTGAGGCCAGCCTAGGCTACAAAATGAGTTAAAGGTCAACCTGAATCACATAGCAAGATCCTATCCCCCCCCCAAAAAAAAAATCCCACAAAACAACAAGTATGTACAGGCCTCCTGAGAAATTCTAATATGTAAGAAAGGTAGTATGTGCTTGTTTTTAACACTATGTTACTTTAACAAATCTATGTTACAGCATGGTCACACAGATAATGGTAGATGCCCCATCATCAGAATCTTTTTCTTGTAGTAAGGATAAATTTTCCTTAATTTGTCCATCTTCAAATCATACTACTACAATGAAAACAACAGTTAAGACAATGGCTATCTTTAGGGCCTCTTACACGCATTCAGCTAGGTTCTTTATACACATTCTCTCGCTCACTGTTTATCACACTGGAAGAAAATTATTCTTTGGCTTCTTTGACAAATGAATAAACTGGAGCATGAAAGAGGCAAAGTTACCTCACTAAAATCTAGATGGTAACTGGGTTATTGAGTATTGAAACGCAGTTTCTGACTTCACATTCAAATCTCTCGACTGCAAATTACTCCCCAAAAGAAATGTCATCAGTGGTTCCAAATTTTCTGTTAATTAGCTGTGGGACTACACACCATGTTTTTAATCATTGGTTTCCCATGTACAGAAAAAGAGAAGTTAGACTACATCATTTCTCAGATGTCTTTCATCTCTAGATGAGACTGATTTCTATATGGGTGACAGAGATCAAAGAATACACTGTAGCCCTGAAAACAAATTTTAAAATTATACAATAGTTGATCACGTGGCAGAATACTTGTAACACATAAATAAAATAGCCTAACAAAATGTACACATGTGAAGTCACTCACTATTCTTAAGAACTAAAATATTCCAGCCAGGAATTTAGCTCAGTGGCACCATTCCTGCCTGACAAGGTCCTGCATCTGATCCCTGGTACCAGGAAAAAATAAAAATAAAAATTTTTTTTAAATATTCCAACATTGTGTATGCCTTCTCTTTCTTACCCCTACCTTGCTGCCAAAGATGCCACTAGCCTGTATGTGATCTATTGCTCCTTTTTTTTTTTTTTTTTTTAAAACA